TGCCTAAACAGGCACTTAGTCCGTCTATGAATTATCTTAACGCAAGAAGCTGAAAACTTCTTGCTACACAGGCAGAAGCTAGTGAGTTAGTTCATAAGCCAGCCAGGGGCCTGGGTTCTAAGCCTGCCTCCACCGCCAGTTCGCTGTAACTGTGGACAGTTTTCTTTGTGTAGAATGCTCACAAATGTGAGGGAGAAAAGGGTGGAGCGTGTGGACTAAATACCGCCCAGCTCCTCTCCAGTACTAATGTTACAGAAACTAATGAAGGCGCTCACACAAACAACAGCCAGCGTTGTCTCTTCCAACATACAAAATCACCCGAGCATGAGAACCTTGCAAGTGAATCCTCTGTGCTCTGCAGTTCCCGTTCCTCCCATCAATCAAGAAACCAGTGACGCATATTCAGTACAGATGCTGAGTGTATTTCAAACACTGTAAAGAGTCTGGCTTATGTCATATATAAATACCCAACTTAACCACATGAGAAAGTTGCTAAGAAAATACAAACCCTGTAATCTGTTAATCTAAAAGGTCATCCCTAACAGCAAATTCTAGGCAGGTGACTTAGCAACCCTGTGCCAATTGAAAAAACGAAAAAAAGCTACTTAGGGGCTTTGTTTACTGATAAGCTTAAAGCAAGTCAATAATAATAGATGCCATTTAAGGAACCAGAAGCCTAGGTTCCATCAGGAAGGGGGAGAGCTAAGTAGGGGACATTATGTTCTGCCGGGGCAGCACACCATAATAAGGGACAACAGCAGCTGGTAAGTCCAGGGTCCAGGTTGCATCAGCGCCAGGCAGCAGGGGCAGGGGGACAACGGAGTCTGAAATGGTTGTAGGCACTGATAATCAGGTTCAGCCCTATCAGTTAGGAGACCCGGCCAAGGAGATGGCTCGGCAGCGTGAGCGCCCGTCTGGCAAGCACAACGTTGAGTTTGATCCCTGGTACCAAAAGCAAAACCTGTCTCTAAAGGTCATTCTATGGATTAGACTTGTTCTTTGGGGTGGGAGTGAAGGATCATCACTCTATCTGGCTAGCTAAAGGCAGTCGTACAAACGCAACAGATAGGGCCGGGGAAAAGCACGTGTTGTCCCTGGCAAAGTCAAAGCAGAAGCCCTTTCCCAGAGCTGGTCTGCATGCATCCAAACATCGGAGAGGCAGCCGGCCCCTTCTGCGTGCTTTCTGGTGACCAAGGCCATCTCTTTCTGTTCACTGACCCAATATATTTCCCTCTTTCAATACACACGCGACCTCTGGATGTGTTGGCGGGAAAGTTTCTCTCCCGTCTACAAAACGCATCCTCCTCAGCCTCTCAGCCTCGTACCACAAGTGAGCAGGAGCAACTGACAACGCATGTAAATGTGTTCACACACGCCCTGTCGGGGTTCAAAAAAATCGGTATTAAGTTTATAGAGGGGAGGAATTTTTAAGAATTCTGTAGTGAGGGGGCCGGGGAGATGGCTCAGTGGAATAAGCGCTTCCCTGGAAAGCGCCAAGGGCCTGAGTTCAATCCCCAGTTCTGCCAAGAAAAAAAAAAAAAAAATAGAATTCTGTAGTGAGGGCCAGCAAGATAGTTCAGCGGACTAAGCGCCTGCTTTAGCAAGCTCAGGGACCAGGGTTCGATCCCTAGTTCTGCATGCCACAGTGGCCTGCCCCGGGTGTGCCGAGTTGGCCACAGAGTCCAGGCGTGGTGGCGCACACCCGTAATCCCAGCACTGGGGAGGCTGAAAGCAGGAGGATCACTACAAGCCCCAGATGCATAGTGAGACCCTGTACCAAATACATAAAAAAAAAAAAAAAAAGAATTGTGGAGTGATATTTTTAAGGAAAAGACAAATACTTTTCTGAAATTCAAACACCATTTTCATTTTAAGACAGTATGGTCCAAAAGGTTCAAGAAAACAACCTACCCACAAAGGAGTTGTACATTCCAAGCCCCATTACTATTTTATTATTCTGGTATCAAATTAAGAGACCTGCCTTAGATGCTAAATAAACTCTATTTTTAATGACTGAGTTTATTCAAAATAAAGGCAGAATAAGACTCAAGAAATGCTAACATATTCTAAAGTTGTACCATGAAATCTGGTTATCCAAATCTGAAATGCCTACACACTGGATTTCAATGACTTGGTACAAAAAAATTGTAACCTATCTCATGACTTTGTAATTTTGTACTCTATATGTTGAAATGATAATACCTTGGAATATCCTTGAAAAAGATTAAAATGAAAAAAAAAAAAAAGCCAAGAAAAATCAGAGGCTTCTGGACCCAACCTGATTCCAGGTCACACTTCTAGGAGCATTTTATTTTTAGCCAGCTTTCCAGGTGATGTAACTATAGGTCGGTTTATATAAGGCACTACCAAAAAAACCAAAAGAGGACGGGTACACCTCAGGCCTCGCCACCTACCACAGGCCGCACACTGGTGATCTCTGCGAGCTAAAGTGCTGTCCATTATTCTGAAACAATTATCCTGAGCTGGAATGTACTTAGTGATATTTTTAAGGAAGAGACAGGCCCTGAATGGCAGCTGCTGAGAAGACAGACACCTCACTTTGTACCTACAGTCACCGTCCCAAAGGCCAGTAGGGGCTAGGGCCTCAGGTGACCTTAGAGAACAGCAGCAAGGCCACTCCACACATACTCTCGTCCCCACTGCTGGGATGCCACAGACAGGCTGGCCACAGCCCGGCTGGCCACCTGCGGCCTGCAGGGAGGGAAGTGCGAGCAGATGACTTCTATCCACATCAGTTGTTTTCCAAAGCACCACCCAGGGTTCCATTAAAGCCACCCCCAAAGCACAATCCCAGACTCAAGACTCCGGCCTGGACTGGCTTCGGGCCAGGGCAGGCCCAGGGCAGCCGCTGACCTCAGCGGGTCTGGAATGGCAGCTGCTGAGAACACAGACACCTCACTTTGTACCTACAGTCACAATCCCAAAGGCCAGGAAGGGTTAGGACCTCAGGTGACCTTAGAGAAGATCCTGCTGTAGCTCCCTAATTAAAGGAAAAACCAAAGCCCACCAAGAGAGACTGTCCCACCCAGGCCTCAGCTGGTGAAAGGAAACTATTCTGACACACTCTGAAGGCCCCATTCAGGGGACCCTACGCTTACTACACACAAGTCCAATTCTGTGCTTACCTTGGGACGGTCTGGCTACACGAGGGCAGTACAGGGGATTCTCCCAAGCCCTGGACTGTGGGTGAACAGACTCAGCAAGCATTTCTTAATGGGAAGGAGAAACCTGCCCCAAGTGTTAGCAGCATTAATCAGTAACACCCTTCTGGAAGGGTTATCAGTGCCAGGCCAGCAAAAGTATAAACAAGAGACAGCTCACCCAGCCAAGGGGCAGGATGTCACTTCAGGGCAGGGGAAAGAAGAAATGTACCATTAGACGCCTTTAGCACCTGGCCCTTGAGATGAGAAGTAGCGAAAGAACTGAGGCCTTCATGGTGCAGGGGAATCAACAAGGGAAGGCTTAGAGCTACCGGGCCAATCTTCTGCTGGACACAGCTCTTCGATCTGCAGCATCCCAAGGTGACCCAGAGCTCTGTCCAGGCTCTGTGTTCCCTTGCAGGAGATAACTAATTCTTTAAAAGTCATTGATTGTGCTCACCCCAAAACCACTTCCCTTCTGGCATTTCTGTTGCTATTCCTAGTTCCAGTGGCCTCTGTAATGTCAGAGAGCAAATGGAGGCCTCTTCCTCACACAGCTTTGGGAATAGACAGAAACAGCACTGAGCACTTTGGACAGCCAAGGGGATAAGGCTGAATGAGCTGCTACATGGTTGAAAGAGAAAATAAGGACTCAAGAGCACAGGCAATTATGAAGGACACAGCCAGAAAACAGGAGCCCATGAATTAACTGCCACCAAGCAGTATCTGCTGCACACCTTCTCTTAGCTTTTGACTTTGAGAACACCTTTAAAGAAAAGTATACCACATGAGAGTAATTCTGGAAACTAGGCAGCACCAGAAACTAGACAAAAGTCCAACGAGGGCCCTGGTCACAGAAGACAAATGACATCTGGCTGTCAGTATTCAGCTTTGACATACTGGGGGGGTGGTCTCTCATCAAATAGTCGGTAGAGGAAAGAGCTTTCTGGGCAAGTGAACGAAGCCTTGTGGCACTGCAGGCTGGTACTTAATGTGTACAGAAAGAAAGCTTAATTACTCGGGATAAAAAAAGAAAAGACCTAGATACAGAGGTCAGCGTTGGAGAGAGGAATTGCACCCAGGGGAGGACGGGTGTCACCTAAGGAGCTGAGTGACAGAGCCACAACAAATCTCCTGAATCCACGTCCCCTTTCTTTCCACTATGTCCTGCTATCTTATTTCAACAAGCCTCAAAGAAGCGCAGCAGAGCCACATAAATCGGCCAAGATACAGAAGAGAATAAAGCAGAGGTTTTTCCATTCTCCGCCAGCGCCCGGGTTGTCCTCCACCACTGCCCAGTCGAGGGCATGCTCCAAATCATATTTCCTATTTTTCACAGATTCACATAAAACTGCAGGGCACTCAGCAACCACGCCGACAGAACGATGAGTTCGCAGAAAAAAATCGCGCACAAACAGGGAGCCACGCCCAGAGCCAATCTCCCGAGGCGTGGGCAAGGCAGAGCTCCGGGAGCCGCGGACTAGCAGCAGCGGCTGCACCGGCGCCTTTCGCACCGCCAGTCCTCGGGCGGCGGCGTGGGGAAGGCAGGCGGCTGCGACAGCACTGGGACACCGGGCGTCCAGCCACTCTGATGACCTCGAGCAACCCCGGGGCCAGGGCTGCCCGGACCTCGGTTTCCCCTGCCGTCCGAGGAAGGTGTTGCACCTGATGGCTTCCCTGGTTCTTGCAGGTCTGGTACAGGGACCTGAAGTCCCATTTCTAGCAAGTCTGGGGCACGGCTCCCGGGGGCCGCGAGGGGAGTCCGCCCGAGGGAGGAGCCGCTTTGCGGAGCTTGGAAGAAGCCAGAGCTGGTGGGCTGGGGGTCGGCCGATTCCCCACCTGTCAAACGGGAGGGAAGCCACCGACCCGCCGAGCGGGTCCCTGCCGAGAGCATCCGCCGCGCCGGGAGGGCGGTGGGGGCCCTGCGATGCCGCGCCCCGCGGCAGGGGGCAGCGCGGGCACTCACCGCCTGGATTCCGGCTCCGGCTCCGGCTCCGGCTCCGGGTGCTGCTTCCGCACAGCCCGGCCGGTCAGCTCAGCGTAGGATCCTTCCCATCCTTTCGGCCGCTCCGCAGCCGCTTCCGGGCCCTGTCACGTGACGCGAAGCCCGGGCCGAGGTCACGTGCTGTCGCGCTCGGCCTCGGGTCCCACTCCATCTTCTGCGCCGCTGCACCATCTAGCGGCCTACTGCTGCAACTGCAGGAAGGACCGCGTTTTGGGGAACCGAGGGCTGGAACTAGGAAGGGAAAACTTCACCTACGGGGATTGGGCAGACTCCACCAAGTGGTGGTTCGTTGTTTGTTTTTTTTTTCTCCTGGTTTTATTTTTTTTTAAATTTTTTTCCATTGTCCTTTTTTTTTTATAAGAGTGGTGGGTTTTTAAAATATTCATAATTTTTGCACGTGCTTTATTTCCCATATCTCAACGAGCACGTATTGCTTTATTTATTTATTTATTTATTTGGTGATACCAGGGATTGAACTCAGGACCTTGCACTTGCCAGGCAAGCACTTATTCCATTGAGCTATCTCCCCAGACCCCGTTATCTCCCCAGCTCCCCGTATTGCTTTTATGACCGGGAATATACATATCATTTATGGTTGCTACTAGAAATGGGAATTTCAGGTAGAGCCACACTTATTTTTCAAATGATAAGTGATTTTTAAATAGATTACAACATTTCAGTATGGTTGAGTGGTATGGATTATCAGGGCTTCTCTTTCTGCAGATTTTTCTTTGAAATTATGCAAAAAATAGACTTCACGTCAAAGGACACAAACGTCATTATTGATAACAGTAACTCACCACTGGTGGTAGCAGTTATATGTGTATATATAGGTACCCAAAGTGCTGACGCTTCAGTGCATACAGCAAATATTCATGGGCATACAGGAAAAACTAAATGTGATTCAACCAGTAGAAAACCCTACATTTCACAATGGATAGATCGACCAGACAAAAAATTAGTAAGGAAATACTGGACACGAACTGCACCTTAGACCAAAGGAACCAAACAGTGATGCAGCTTCGGTACAAAGAGGAGGGCGTGCATTTATTGCTTGTATGTGTAATGCAATGCTAGGACAAAAGACAAGCAAAAGTGCGAAACTAATGCTCCTCTTTCACCTCGCTGTACTCCCCACTTGTCTCTTCTTTGCTCTCAATATCCGGGCACCTACCTTGAGACCGTCAATCTCTTGGGAGGTATGCTAAGAGGCCCTGATGTATGTTAACTTACGCAGGTTAAATATAATCCCTAGTGTTAGGGGTTGAATCCAGGGCCTTCACACGGAGCTACATCCCCAGCCCCCCCCCCTTGTTTGTTTTTTGTTTTGTTTTGTTTTTGTTCGTTTTTGAGCCACGCTCTCCCTAAGTCCCTAAGCTGCCCAGGCTGGACTTGAACTTGCAGCCTACCTCCAGGAAAGCTAGGACGCAGACAAGCAGCAGGCACCATGCCCCGCCCCACTCTCCCCAGTATCCAAAAAGCAATGTCATTGTTCTCACTCAGGGAACTCTGTGGGTGGTTTGAATAATTAGAGAAGATAAAACTGCTATTAAGAGGGCAGACAACATCAGAACAGCCGGTGCTGGTGGCTCTGGAGGAAGCGTTCTGTAAAGTAAATGAGCCAGAGCATCCATTAAAGGAGGATGTCCCGAGGGGAGCAAACCAGCTGTAGTCCCTGGGGACAGTGCTGCTGCTGCTGCTGCTGCTGCTGCTGCTGCTGCTGCTGCTGCTGCTGCTGCTGCCAGACCCATGAGACTGCAAGGTGCCTCTGCCCCAAACATTTGGACTCTTACTGATGTTTGATGGTATGAAAGGAAGTAATGATGATAACCCATTTCACCAAAGTATTTGGGGAGTAAACAAAATATCCAGAAGAAATCTTTTTTTTTTAAAGAATAAAGAATTATATACTTGTTTTGTTTACACATAAGTCCAAAAATCTCACCATATACAACCTTGAAGAGAACAGTCCCACAATATTCCTTTTCCTTTCTCTTGCTTTCATTCACCACCCCCTTATTTTTGAGCAACCATCTACCTGAGAAACTCCATAGCAGCCACTGGAATGTCACAACAAGCAGGCCCTATTCAGAAGACCAGAATGACAGGCACTCCAAGCATGAAACTACTATTACAGATTACCATCTGCAGTGCAGTATCTTAGTTCACAGGTATCAGAATATATAGTTAGTCAGGGTGAGAATCTTTCCAATTTACGGCTAGATTCAAAAATCTTCTGAAGATGCTCAGGATCATTGCCTTACCCATCTTCTACATATAACTGTATGGCTTGACACTGTCATTTTTCTTAGCTCTTCTTTACCTCTTGATTAGTTAGTCCTTGAGATCCTGCTTTCCTTTTACTTGTATTATATCTTTCTATTTGTATTTCTTCTTTGGAGTTCTTATCCTAGGGAGATTATACGATATTTACACATGCGTGTCTGGTTTATTTCACTTACGACTATATGTTTAAGTGGCATCCACTTCAATATAAAGGCTTCGAGTTTATCATTCTTTTTTTTCAAAATTTTATTGATAAATAGCAATGAGACAGTTTCAAATCAAATCGGAAGTACAGTTTCAACAAATAATACACTGCATATATTCTTCTTAGTGGTTAATTGCTGTACAAGATGCGGACTTCAGAAGAAATCTATTAAAAAGATCAATTGACATGTGCAATCTCAGGTCCCAGGAAAAGGTGTGGAAGCCAGCTGAGCTAAGCTAGTCAAGATCTGATCCTTCCTGTGATCAAACAGGACTGCTGTGCCACCGGCACCAAAGCGCTCAGGACTGAAAGACTGCACAAGAGGGGACACATTCTGTAGGGACACAGGTCTGGGGGGTCGCGTGTGAGAGGGGTTGGAAGGAATGCACCACTGGGACGTCTGCATTCACCTACAGACAGGGCCAGGGCGGTAGGAGCCTTGTCACACGTGGATAAGATCCCAGCCACATGCCTCTCCTTGGGACCACGCTGCTTACCCAGGAGTAGATCGGAGTGGAGACCTGAAACATATTTCCTTAAGAACATTGCCCAGTGGTGTGAGAGTGCCAATGGGGTACCTTAAACGGCTCATAGGTCATAGGGGTGCTGAGACATTGGTGTCTTAGTGCCTTGGGGAATCCGGGTGAGTCTTACAGTGCTGGTGCTTCTGAGAATGTTACCTCTAATCATGAGCCACACTAGTTCTTTTATCCCAAGGACCTTCAAAAACGTTAACATTTTCTGCACATTATAATGTGGACAAAATGAGGAAGCAGTAGACAGGTGAGGTGTTCTCACCATTTTTTGTTCACCGAGACACTTAGGAGAATGAGAGGGGACGCACAAAGATTTCTCATAGGAGCATAATGAAACTGTCCCAAATAACCTAGGGATGCATTGTGTAGGAACTGGAATGATGCCCCCGGAGATGCCCGCAGGGCTCCAGGGTATGCCACCAGATGGCCAGAGAGACCTCTGCGGTGCAGAGGAATTACGGTAGGCAATTATTTGCATGTGTTTATTGTGGACAAGGATATTTATCGGAGGGTCAGAGAGAAGAGAGGTGCTCTCCTACTGTCTTTGAAGATAGAATTGAATGCCCGTGTCCTCTAGAAGCTAGGAAAGAAAAAAAAAAAAAGGTCTTGCCTTGAGTTTCCAGAAAGGGAACAGCTCAGCCAATACCTGAGTTTAGAACTCCTCACTTCTAGAACCATAAAAAAAAAAAAAAAAAAAAATGTGTTTTAGTTCATACATTTGTAATCATTTGTGAAAGCAGGAATAGAAAAAAAAAAAAAAACCCACCACTTAGAATTGATAATAAATTTGACTTTATATAATTTTTAAAGTTAGACAAGTAAGCAATGAAGTACTAAAACCATAATTATACTGAGAAGTTAAACAGGGGTGGTTGACAGGTATAAATATGCGCGTGACATAAACTGCTAACTTCTGAGATGTAAGGATCTTAGACAGAGTGCTACAGTTTACGTCTGGGTGTTCCCCAAAGCTCATGCGCTTACAGGTGGCGCTTCGGGGGGGTGCGTGGAGCCGCGGCACGTAATGCTCATCCCTGGGTCAGTCCACCGGTGGGTTGATGGCGGGGTGTGACGTTGGGAGGAGAACCCTGCGGGCAAGCGGAGGGCCGCTGTGGCCGTGGCCTCGGTGGCCAGCGTCCCTCCTCTTCCCTTGAGCCCTTGCTGCTTCCTGCCCACTGCACCCTGGCCTGCTCTTCCTCTGCCGTGCCCCTGTGCCTTGGAAGTGCTGACTATGGACGGAAGCCTCGACAAACTGTGAGCTGAAATAATCTTCTCCTCCTTCAACTAGTGATTGTTGTGTTTTGTCCTAGCAAGGAGAAAGTGACTAAGAGATGGAGAACTAAAAGGCTAAAATAAGGTTCGGCCAGATAGCCCAGCGGACTAAAGCGCCTGCTTAGGCAGAGCTCAGCAGCTGGGGTTCGAGCCTGGGGCCTGCCGTGCCAGCCTTAACCCCGGGGCGCGCTGAGACGGCGATTGAGACTGGGTGTGGTGGTGTGCGCCTGTAATCCCAGCGCTTGGGAGGCTGAAAGCAGGAGGATTGCTATGAGTCTGATTTGTGTATCGACACTCTGTACTAAATACATTAAAAAACAAAAAAGCTAAAATAAAACACTGATTACACAAAACCAAAAGCATGGCGCCAGCAGGAGAAACTTTCACGAGCCATAAGCAGACCATCACTTATTATAAACCCCTTGCTATCTTAGTTACTTTTCTCAAAGCTGAGACAAAATTCCAATGCCCACATGTTAAAGGAAGAAAGGTTTATTTTTGCTCAGTTTGTAGAGGTTCCAGTCCATAGTCAACGGGCTCCAAGAGGGACATCACAGAGGAGAAAGAGTTCATGGCACAGCAGGCAGAAGGCAGAAAGTAGCAAGCAGCAGCAGAAACAGTAGCAGTGGCGGCGGCAGAGGCAGCACCCTGCCTTCCATCTTTCCTTTTATATTCCATGCAAGCTACAAGCCTATTAATTGGTGTCACCCACACCCGGGGTGAGGCTTCCATTATCCACACCCTTCATCCCAGCATCACACTCATATGTCTATATG